ACAATTGTGCCCCACGCACACAACAATACAGTATGTATGTACTTTTTCGATTTTTAAAACTTTTATAGTTTTTTGCTTTTACTTACACTTCATTCAAAATTGCGGTTTATCTGTTTTGTTTTAATGTATTTAAATTATAATTAATATTTTATTACTTTATTTAAGTTATGTGATAAAACTGTTCTATTTTTCATGAAACTCGGAAAACGTAACAAATTATTAATACGCATTAAATAATAAAATATTTTTGTTGCTAATAAGTATTTTTTTGCTAATATTTATAAAACAAATATACATAATGTTAATAATTTTTTTAGATAATGTTTAATCCAAGAAATGTAGCAGTACTGCTATACACTGCACTGTATATGACTGGGGAATTCCCAGAAAGTCCTGTTACAACAGATGAAAATGAAACAAAAGACATGATGGAAAATATGCTTCGATCAATGTATGAAGAAGCGTTTGAAGTTTATGAAGAATCATCATTAGATTTTCAAAACGAATTTGATATACCTGAAGTAGAACCTGTAATTGATGAAGAAAGAGAAGAAGACACATATTTTGTAAAAGAAATTGAATGTGTTGCGGATTCTGTACCAATAGAATATAAAAGAAATGCAGTAGAGTTATGGAGAAGTGGAACAAAAAAGTCAAGAACTCTTGCATCTATAAGAAATAGATTTCGGAAAGTCACGTCATTACGTCAATTAAGAAGATGGGAGCAGCAAGTAAATCAAGGTGGCAACAGATTTGATAAACTGAAAGAAATTTCAACATATACGTTAAATAAATTCCATGAAGGTATTGAAAAGGGAATAATTATTCATGACATTGATATTGCTCGATGGGCTCTTCGCGCACAGAAGGAAGTAAATCTACTTGGGTTTACAGCATCATTATCATGGGTAAAAAGGTTTAAGCTTGCACATAATATCGTATCTAGAAAAATTACAAAATTTATAACAAAAAAAAATTTAGCGTCAGACAAAGATTTAGAAGCACGAAGCAAGTCATTTATCGAAAATGTTAAATCTTCTATTATACAATATGGAATTGAAAATGTATATAATTCGGACCAAAGTGGATTTCAATTAGAATTTCATTCCGGTCGTTCACTATCACCTATTGGTATTAAAAAAGTAGAGCGCATAGTACAATCCATATCAGCAACTACACATAGTTATACTATACAACCTATTGTTTCAGCTGATGGTAGATTATTATCGCCTCTGTTTATTGTTTTAAAAGAACCTACTGGAACATTTGGTCCAATAGTAAAAGAAACAATGTTTAAAGATAATAATATCTTTGTCATGGCATCAAAATCTGGAAAATTAACATCGCATCATTTTGAGATCTGGATAAAAGAAGTGTTTTTTCCAAATGTTGGACCAAAATCAGTGTTATTATTAGATTCTTGGACTGGTCATTGTCCTGATATAATTCAAAGAAACAAACCAGATTTTATAGACAATATTAATTTGTTAACTATACCAGCTGGAGCAACGGGAAAAATACAACCTTTAGATGTATTCGGTTTTCGTTTATGGAAAAATTTTGTTAGACATTTTTCAGATACCATCATGCTTTTAGATCTTGACGTCAAGCTTCATTCAAGAAACAATATTTTAAAATTACAATCATTAACACATAATCAATTTTCATCACCAAGGTTTAAAAATTTATTCAAATATGCATGGTATAAAAGTGGTTATTTAGAAAAGAAACCAGAAGAATTTGATACACCAGTAGATTTTTGTTTCAAAACTAATTTAAAACCAACATGTGATATTTGCGGTGAAATTGCTGTAATTTCTTGCGCATGGTGTAAAAAATCCCTTTGTATAAATCATTTCTTTCATGATCATCATCTTTGTAACCGATATCAACCATGAATATTTGTTATTCTTGTATGCAATAATTATGTACGGTATTTTATGTAATATTTCCATATACATATATATAATGACTTCGGAATACAACTTTATTATATATGATTGAATTTGTCGTTAAATGAGCTATAAGTTTTGTTATGAGACAAATTTAAAAATTTTCAAACATTAAAAGGGAGGGGGGGGATTTCGAAAAATATGACATTTTCGACAAATCTGATTACATGATTTTGAAGTACATTAAAGACCATAAAACTTTTATTTGAAACTTTTGTTTATATCTCTTATCGCTTCGACGGTATCCGCTGAGAAATGAAAAAATCGATTTTTTTCAAGAAGGTGTTTCACCCCCTTAACGGCCGACTCAGCACTTATAAAAAAATACGTGTCTCCTATTTTGATCTAGACTACAACATATTCAAAGCTCATTAAAATCGGAGAGGGACACTTCCGACCCTTTCCTTGTAAGTAATTTCAGCGGTTTCTACAAGACACGAGAATTTAAACAAGATCGATCACATATACTCAGAACCAAACAATATTACTTTGAAGGAGGCCAACATAAATAGCATAAACATTTCATGAATCTTAAACGTCAATTTTACGGTCTTTTTTACATTAGAGTACAAAGAGGTTGCAACAGAAAAGTGGCAAACAACGAATTATTTTAAAATGAATAACAAGGAAGTAATATACCATATCGGAAATTTACAGTCGGGAACTTTATGCAAGTTTCGCTTGATATTGGGATATCCCGAATATGAAGAAACTTTTACATGGCCGACTGATGAAAGATTTATTTTTTCAACACGTGATAGCAAATATGGTAAGCAAATGAAAATACCCATGCACAATAAGATTGTAGATATATTGAAGAATAATTTTAAACATTGCAAATTGATTGCGAAACTTTGCTGAGTCATTGTTATAAGATGTGGTAAAGTTAAGATATCCGCTTTTTGCAATGAAACATTGTAGCAATATTACAATTTAATATATTGAAAAGAATGCAATGTTATTACAATCATTTAATAATATTACGTATAAAATATTTTTGTTTTTGATGGATAAATATCTTGAAAACATATATAATTAAATTAAGAAGGTCGATATAAATAGAAGTTTGCAATATCTAAGATAATCATATCTAAGATAATATATTGCAAAATTATATTTAAACGTAATCATATAAAATATGTCTTTATACAAAATTACTTTAAACTCTTACTTACGAATCATTTCTTTTTATTTTAAATATTCTATATACTCTTATAATGGATACTTTATATATATATATATATATATATATATATATATACTCTTGTAAAGGGTACTTTATATATATATATATATATATATATATATATCTTTCTCTAATGATTAATTAATGTTTATACATATATAAACATTAGTAGACATTAGTATAAACATTTATAGAATTAATTAAACATTACTAATTATATTTTTATTTAAAAATTTAAAAATTATATTTATATTTATTTGTATGAGAAAAACATAAAAATACATTGAAAAATATAACGATAGATATAAAAATATCTATTCTTAATATAATAAAAAGATAGATAATATAATAATAAGATCGTATTCGTGCATAAAGTAAAAATATATCATCAAATATATTTTAATATTGGTATAAAATGTTATCTATATTTTAATGAAGGAATAGAAATGCTTATCTTTAGCTTAAAATTGTATTTACTCGACTGATATTATTCCTGTGTCATTAATTCGTTTAACTTCTGCAAAAAAGTAAAATTCCTCGCATATATATAAATATAAAAGTATATATTATTACATTATTTTTATAGATAAATTAAAAAGTGTTGATAGTTCCTCAATGGTTTCAAAATATCAATATCACATTGCTAAACTCCAATTTATATTTTGTTAATTTATATTTCTACAATGTTTGTGTAATGTTGCATTGCAATTTGTGATATTGCAATATTATTGCAAAGTAGTTGTAACATTCCGTGCTGCATAGATATTATAATATGATATACTAATATTTTTAGATGTGAATAGGCCTTGTAACTTTATTTTTACTTGTAACTTTATTACAAAAATTTAAAAAAATTAAATTTATGTAATAAAGTTACAAGTAAAAATAAATTTTTAAAAATATACACACGAAGATATTAAAATTATATTTTTGCTTAATACAGATATTTCGGACACTCCTGGAATAATAGCGAAAAAATATTACTTATTATTGATGTTAGGTTTTATCGTTATAGTTATTATAATTTGCCTCTGCTACTTTTATTGTTGTAAGTATTGTATATTTGATGTTGGTATCAACTTGAATTGTTGATTATACATATATATCTGATATAATATCTAAAAATTTACTAAAAAATAGTAATCCTTGCAAAAAGAACCTTACAAAGGTAAAAAAAATACACCAATTACATAAAAAATATTCCACCTTGTATGCAACAAAACTTTTTTAATAAAAAAATAGCCTTATAATAAATAATTTATAAAAATTTTCCCTAAAAAAATATATATAATTTTCCTAAAAAAAATCAAAACTAAATATGAAGTCAATAATTAATTAGCCAAGTACATTGAAGCAATTGATAGGGATTTGTAATTTGAAATATTTGTCACAAATTCAATCTTGCATATATATATTAGATTCTTGACAAAATAAAAATGATTTTCAAAATAAGTCCAAGTAAATTTGGAACTAAAAAATTTCCAAGTAAATTTGGAACTAAAAAAATTAAGACCAAAACAACTTACAAAAAAATGGCGTGCTCGGATCGTATTATAATTCACATATTTCTATAATTGAAATTAATTACAGATATATAATTCGCAAACTTTGTAAAATTATATGTATACTACAGAGCAGTGACTCTCAACTCAATGCTTGGAACTCAATGTTTGGACTTGTTTTTTATGTACTTGGCGTCGCGACGCTACCGCGTCGCTTGATTTACCTATATAAAAATAAATGAATAAATTTATTAAAAAACGATAAATTTTATAATGCATATTATTACATAATTAAATCGAAATTTTATAACAGTATATCATCGACGCAGAAATAATAATAAGCAATTTTTGCCTTCAACAATGGCCGACATGGAATTAGCGATTCTACATGAAGTACCGTGCCAAAACACTCAATTGAATATGCTTTACAGTCCTACATTGTTACATTATAACCCGGATGAATATGCGATAACTAAAATCGAACGTAAACAAATCACATTAATCAAACTTCTTGGTAGCGGCGCATTTGGAAAGGAAAAAATTAGTTTTTTCAGCAATGTTTCAAATTAATTTCTAAATAAAAAAACAGACCTTTTCTAATAAGGATATAAATTATATGAATTTTTATAGTAGATTATATGTAATATAAAATTTTTGATGAGACAACATACATGTACTTTGTTATATAATTTTCGTTGGATTATTTAATATAAAATAAAATATAACGATACTTAACATTATTCTACACATTTTTAAGTACATATTTAAATTTGTATCAAATATTTTGCAGGTATTTCAAGGAAATGTGAAGAATTTAGAAAGGTCTGGCATACAAATATCCGTTGCAATAAAAACGCTTCGGAAAGATGCTTCTTCCAATGAGAGAAAGAAATTTTTAAAAGAAGCCAAGCTTATGAGTCACTTTCGACATGAACATATATTAAGATTGTTGGCCATTTGTGAAGATGGGGATTCTCCATTACTAGTGTTGGAATTGATGGAAACTGATCTGTCAAAATATTTGAGAGATTGTCGTAATTTGCAACCGTCAGATTTGCATGCCTTGCGTTCGCAGGATTTACTAGCCATGTGCGAAGATGTTGCGCGAGGCTGTTGCTACTTGGAAGAGTTGCGCTTCATACATAGAGATCTAGCGTGTCGCAATTGTTTAGTATCTTCGAGAAATCGCGAGAATCGTGTCATTAAAATTGGAGATTTTGGACTAGCTAGAGATATCTACAAGGATGATTATTATCGCGGGGTAAATGCAATTATTTAAAATTTAATTATTAAAACAATGAAATCTTTTGGAAATGCTTTCAATTTTTTATCATAATATTATTGTCCATTTTTTCAATAATATTGAGTATAAATAAATTGTTTATATTTATATAAAGTAAGTGATAAATAAGAGTTTTTTTTCATTTTGCACATATTTTATTCTAAATGAACAACTTGAGCAAGAAAATTAAATTTTTGTTAAAATCATGTTTTAGAAAGGAAAAGAATTGCTTCCTGTTCGCTGGGTGGCACCGGAATCTAATCGGCACATTTACTTCTCAAAGCGATGTTTGGTCCTTTGGTGTTTTAATGTGGGAAATTACATCGTTGGGTGAGCAACCTTATATTGGCAAGTCTATTGAAGAAGTGATAAATTATGTACGTGCTGGAGGCAGATTGTCAATGACTCTTAACTGTCCGTCAATATTGTACCAGTTGATGCTACGTTGCTGGAGTACAGCGGATGCTAGGCCAAATTTCAAATTTTGTTTGAAAAATATTATAGCATTAAGAAAGAACATAGAAGATGCCTTACTGAGTCCAGTCGATACTATTTAGCCGATACAATTAAATTAATGTTTATCTTCTTTATAAATAATTTATAAATAAAAATATCCAACATAAAAAAAGTGTGTTATAAAAAAAGGATGTACAAAGTTTCGAAATTTTATTTATAAATGAAAGTGTTATATAGTATAATATATTAAGTCTAATTAAAACGGTATATTAAAACTTGATTGTATTATTCTCTCTCTCTCTCTCTCTCTCTCTCTCTATATATATATATATATATATATATATATATATATATATATATATTGTTACGCGCGCGCCCGAGTCGTCACGGCCCTGCCGTTGTCTGGATCCCGTCGGCAAGAAGAATTATTTACAAACAACGACTGTCAGCTGAGTTCGGTTCCAGCTGTCTGGCTGCGCGGACGCGAATTTGTATCGAGCCGCTAATTTGTGTGTTGAATCGTTTTGTGTTAACGTTTGTGTTGCCCTGTGTTGGGAATTAAAACTTTTCTTTTAAAAATGTTTATTTATTTCGCGCGACTCGCGAGCGGCCGATCTTTCCGTGCGCGACTTCGATAATAATCGAAGTCCTCGCCGCGGGCGCAACAATATATATATATATATATATATATATATATAATTATTACTTCTAAAAATAACAATTTTTAAAATTAATAAAGTATGCTGCTATATATCCGTTACATTAATATATACATATATATGATGACACTTGAACAAACCTTTATGTCATTTTTCTTCAATTTCTAAAATTTCTTTATTTTTCTAGATATTTATAATAATATTTATTGATATATAGTGTAAGGTTTATATTAATGTAGATTTCATTTTATAAAATTAATTTAGAAAATCGCTAGATGCTAAAATTTATATTAATTTTCATTGTACATATATATATATATATATATATATATATATATATATATCCAATAATATATAATTATATACACATATTTTTGTCAAGGCATTATCGATTTATACTATCACCTTCAGAATTTGTGTTAAAAATATAACAATAATCGAAAAAAAATTTGATAAGGTTATAGATAAAAGATTTTATATAATTTCTACGACTAATATTTAATAACTGTAAAGAAACAATATTTTTACCTTTTTTGAAATACAAAAATTAATAAAACTTTAATAATATCGGCAAATTTTTGAAAAAAAGATTAAGTTACGATAAAATTGGAGAAAAGTTATCTAACCTATTATGAAAGAATCAAATTGTTAGGCACAAAATTGTTTCAACAATTCCAAAGAGCTACACTTTTACTTGTATTATTTGCTAAGAGTAGCCGTTATAAATTCTTATTGACTCTTGTTAACCTATTGATTGATTTTCTTTTTAATATATATATTTGTTTTTATACAAGATGTCTTCAAAAAAATTAAAAAATAGATTTTATAATATAAATAAAACTACATCATATTTAATATATATATATATATATATATATATATATATATATATCAATTAAGAATGATATATTGTATATCAAACCAGTATTATTAACCCAACAAATAATAAATGGCAATTTTTCGTTTAATTTTATTATTATATTTATACATATAATTTATCATTAAAAGCAACAGAAATAATCGCTCTAACGGTATTCACTCAGAAATTTCTGCTCTAACGGTATTCACTCAATTCTTTTTGTTATACTTTATGTTATACTTTAAGGATATACTTGAAGGATGTTATACTTGAAGGATATTTTAATGTTCGAGAAAAGTGATCATCATGTACTGAATTTCGAATCTGACTGGAATCATTCTGATAATATGACTATAAGAAGTGAGCGAGAAGTCAGTGAGGTTCCACACTTGCAAATATTTCTATCACTCCAGAACCTATCAGTAAATTGCAAAAAATGCATAAAATAAAATGCATTAATAATAAAATCTACGAAAAAAAATTGTAAATATAATTTAAATTCAAATGAGAATGGAAATCAAATCTAATCCTCCCAAAAAAAACCTTACAAAAGTAAAAAAAATACGCCAAGTACATAAAAAATATTCCACCTTGTATGCAACAAATCATTTAAACACAAATAGTAATATAGTTATGCAGAGATATTCCCTACATGTTTAATTATATATATATATATATATATATATATATATATATATATATAAAAAATCATATGTGTGCATATGCGAACACACGTGTGATATGTATATATATGTGTACTTATGTATGAAAGATAAATTTATGAAAGCATATATATATATATATATATATATATATATATATATGCTTTAATAAATTTATCTTTCATACATAAGTACACATATATATACATATCACACGTGTGTTCGCATATGCACACATATGATTTTGTCACTCTAAGCATTGTACATATCGAAGCAATAATCGTATACGCAACGAAATGCCGCTTGAGGGACAAATTCGCTTTGCGTGTGTGCGTGCGAGCATATGTACGTGAGATACTGGAAATAAAAGAAATGAAGGAAAACGAAAAATGTCACAATTCTGATATTCGATCATCATTTCTCAGGATTGACTGCATCGATTTTGTTCAAACAGGTCGCAATCGAAAGCATATATTAACATTTTATAATAAAAGTGTCGTTAGATTTTGATTACGGCTTTAGTTTATTAAATATCTTAACCGAAAGTTTACTTGACGCGAAATTCCAGATAAGGTACTTGGTAGCGCCGCGTCGAGAGCAATGACTCTCAACTCAATGCTTGGAACTCAATGCTTGGACTTGTTTTTTATGTACTTGGCGTCGCGACGCTACCCCATCTCTTGATATATAATTTGGAATTTTTTTTTATCTCTAGTAATAAAGTATACAAATTTAAATTCACATAACAAGACCGTAAAACAAAATCATCAGCTCACTGTTTATGTCGCCAAGGTAGAATATTAGGATAATTCATTGTGGAAATATTTTAACATGTTAATATATCTTATACAGGGTGATTCTAAATAACCTTATGTTTTTGCAAAAACATAATCTTGATCGAATTCTAAGACGATTTTTCCTTTGACAAAATTTCGTGCAAAGCATAGTTTTTGAATTATTAAGAGAAACATTTTGCTTATTACGGGTCGGATACAAGAGGCATGCAAGGGCGGCGCAACTGACCGTCAGACGCGGGCGCTCACGCGGGGCGATCAGCTGGTCGCTATACGCACGGACATACATGCGAATACATACATTCTGTCTCTCTCTCTCTCTCTCTCTCTCTCTCTCTCTCTCTCACTCTCACTCTCTGTCTCTCCCATTCACTCACTTAACCGTTGTTGGTTTTTTTTTTTTTTTTTTTTTTTTTTTTTACGAGAGGGGAAAATGCATTTTATGCATAACTCACCGCTCGGTCCGGTGAGTTATGTGGGACTCGAGTACCAAGTCTAATTACCAACTCGGTACTCCCTACCCACTAAAAACCCCTCTCTTTACGAATTTCCTCTGGGACACTATCTGACTTCCCAAGATCTATTTCGACACAACGCCAAAGAATAATTATTGTTACCTTGTTCGATGACTTCTGCTAATTATTGTTGTAGTTCCTTGAGAAATAAATATTCCGATAGATCGCACTTTCATTCAAATTTAACATAGATATCACACGTTACAAAAGACAGAGACATTCACACTAAATAATTAATCGAAAGTTCTTCTTTTTATTAACTGTATTCTCTTAAACGTAACCACATTTATTCACTCACTCGATAAAACGAGAATTTACTAAACTCACTCTCTATCATTAATCACTATCAATCACTGCCGAATAATCACCGTTAGCAATTAAAAAGTCCTCGATGAAAGAAATACACGCGGACAGACACGTTATTACACGACGCGACGACGCAATAACGCGACGATATTTATTCGGCGGTAGCAAACAGCTGTGTTATGTTACGGCAGGTTAAGGTACTAACAGCGCTGCCGAACGTAATCATGTGTTTGACCGAAGAACGCGGCCAACATACAATATTAAACATTTAACGCGCGTATAATTTCATTATTATCATACGATATACATACATCATATGATATTCAAAATTAATTAGAATAAATAAATGTTTTTAAAATATTGAATATTTTACTATTATTATTAATATTAAATATTTATTTATTTAATATCAATAATAATATTTAATTTATTTATAAATAAATATAGTTATTATTAAATATTATTAAATATTTATTTAACTATTATCATGGAAAATAAATATAAAAAAATATATTAATTAATTGCAGCGCGTCTTGATTCTTCTCTTGGCTTTTTCTTACGCTTTTTTGAAAACGAAAGAAGATTCCACGTTTAAGAATGTTGGTCGCTCTGAAAAGAGCGAATTATTTTGATCGCCTTAAAAAAGGCGGATTGTTTTCACATTTATTTTACAATAAATGTTCGAAATTACCTCCATCCATCCGAACGCAAGCTCTCATGCGTTTCATTAAATTTCTTTGGACACTTGAGAGTACATCTTCTTCAATAGACCATATGGCATATCTCAATCTTGTTTCCAAATCCTCCATGTCTTCAGGGAGCGTTTTATAAATTATTTCCTTGCAGTATCCCCAAAGGAAAAAGTCCAGTGGATTGAGATCCGGGGATCTTGGAGGCCAACGTATCGGACCATATCTACCTATCCAGCGTCCAGGAAATTCGTTATTTAGATAATTTGTCACAATTCTGGCATTGTGAGGGCCAGCACCGTCTTGTTGGAATATAATTTTGTTTCTATCCAATAACGGCACTTCTTCCAAAAAATCTGGTAGATCGTTTTTTAATAGATCAATGTATGCTGCGCTGGTTAGAATGTCCGGGAGAATGATTGGGCCTAGTATTTCAGTCCCCATGATTCCAGCCCAGATGTTGAGCTTCCAACGAATCTGGAAATTCCTGACTCGTGTAACTCTTGGATTTTCATCACTCCACAAGTGCATGTTATGCGAATTAAATATTCCTTCTCGCGTAAATAGCGATTCATTGCTAAATATTATACGAGAAAGGAATCTGGGATCTCTATCTA